AAACCACCCGTTTCGAAGTAAGAAGATATATACAGATAGATAGATATATTTTATTATATCTATGTTTTCGCGTTCGATCGAACGAACAAATTGCGAATTGACGAAATTACATATATATATATATTATTATTGATTTACACGATGTGTGCAAGTGAAATGATGTTTCAATCATCCCTCTTTATATCGGATATGTAATACGCAAAATACAAAAATTTATTTCTGCAATATTTACGTTTCTTTCATTTACTTTCCTCGCTATTTTTATTCCCCATCTTAAAAACTTGGAAACCTTGATTCTACGCGCAATTTTGCGCGTTTAAGGTTCGTTTAACTTTTATTTTTCAGGTGGAAGCATAATCCATGGTATCGTGTCGAAACAAATGCTAATCGAATCGTTGGAATTTTTTTGTTCCAGATGTGGTCAAATAAATATTGAATTAAAATAATAATCTTCTATTGAAAATAATCTTCAACTTGTTTATATTTATATTTGTTTAAAAAAAAATAGAACAATGCCGTATGAAATGTTGAAAACTGTCTGGACCCCTGATCTGATCGGGCCGATATACAAGAAGGAGATCACCAACTTACGAGAGGTTAATTTTTTTTTAGAGGGAGGAGGAGAGAAGATAAAATTGGATTAATTGGAAAAAATAATTAGGTGTTGAACACTCATCGACACGATACGTGCACTCGAACGATGGCGACTTTCGTCCCCGACGAGTTGATATACGAGAGCGACTTAACTAAGAAAAGTTTCCGCAAATTCAAGGCTGTAATAATGGTGATCGATGTGACTCAATTGTTCAGTTTCTACAGAAGATTCACATACGCGGAGAATGGCGGTAGTTACGGTTTCTTCTCTTTGTTGAACGATTATATGAGCGCCATAGTGGAAGAAGTATATATTAACCACGGAGACGTGTTGAAATTTTCTCGTACGTTTTCTAATTTTCTACTTATATCGAGAGAGAAAAAAAAATTATATTCAAAATTATATATATATGTATATATAATAACATTTTTATCGAACGTATAGATAATGATCTGCTAATCATGTGGAAAATAACCAGGAACGAATTCATTGCAAGAATAATACGTCACGTGATTATGACCGCGGAAAGTATCCAAAAAAGTATCGCCGCCATAAAGAACGAAATCACTCCTATCCCAAAATGTAACGAATAATGGAATAACGAGTAACGAATAAAATTAATAATCGATCGATCGTATCGACAGTGTCTATCGTAATCTCCATGGGAACTGCTGTATTTTCGGTGATCGGTGACGACAGGTGTAGAAATTTTGTAATATGTGGTTCGTCGATCCAGGACATTAAGTATACGAGAAGAGTATGTTTACCAGGCGATATCGTGTTGTGCGAGAGCGCTTGGCAATATTGTGTCCCCAGTCATTACGAATACGTTCTTAAGGATGCGGACAACGTTAAGGTTGGCGAATATAATAATTTTACGAGTTTAGAGAGAATTTTTAAGTCGTTCGAGGAGGAGTAAAAAAGACAGTTTAAATCTGATAATGGATTATTGTCGCGGGATAGATCATTAAAGTGCTCGAGGCACCCGAGGAAATTTTGATGGTGAAAGACATAGGGATCGAGGAGGATATCATAGAACTGGGAAAGTCGCCGTCGCACGTGTCGATATTATCCGATGTATCCGTGGAACAAGAGATCAGAGCTACACATTTTCGAAGTAAGTGAGGATCGATTTAGCAAAGCAAAATAATATGATATCCGTGATGCAACGACGATCCCCGTTTCGTAGCAAGAATTTCCGTAGTGGACGCATTGCGAAGACGTATCGGAATGTATCTGAGAAGTTACATGGTGACAGCGGTATTAATGCAGGTAAGAGGTATTAAAAAAGGCCGTTCTCCCTTTAAGAAAATTTGTCCATTTCATAAAACTTGATTTTCAGATCGATAACGAACAATCGTTGGCCCATTTGATAGAAATAAGGAATGTTACTGTTATTTGCATCAGTATAATTCCTTATGATTGTACCGTTTTCGAGTTGATTTCTTTGACAGACGAAATATACAAAACTATTCTAAAGTATCCTCGTTCGAATATATATATATATATATGTATTGTTGAAATTGTTCTTAAAAAATTGATAAAATTTAATCAAATTTTTAATATTCGATTGCAGTATAATTGAATCGTATTCCGGATTAATGTGCCTCGTAAATTTATTCGAAAAAGATATATCTTTTATCGTTATATTCGGACTTAGAGATTTTATAAATAATAAGAAAAATAATGTAAAGAATGGAGTATTGTCCGCATGCCGAATATTAAAAGAAGTGAAACACATAATTGGTATTAAAGCAATTCTTATTGGTGTTTCGACTGGTAATCTTTCAAATATTAAATTTTTAACAGAATTCGAATTATCGAATCTTAAATTTTTTCATCTTGTTTCACATACAGGTTTAGCATTCTGTGGAATAATTGGTCATATCGTTAGAAGACAATTCATGGTTTTCGGTCAATGCGTCGACATGGCTACTTCTTTGATGATGATTTCGTACGACAAGGTTCGTCTCATGAAATTTTTACAATAATTAATACGTCTCTGCGAGATTCTGAAAGATATTTATCGTAGATACATTGCGACTACAACGTTGTTTTAAAAAGTACTTTGAAAAAAGAGAAATTTCGTCGCCAAGGTATAAGGACATTAAGAAAACTTGGAAAATGTGAAATTTATGAGATCTTAGATGAGCCATTGTAATGTTTCTAATTATTATTTTTCTGTTTCTAATTATTTATGTAAAAAAAGTTTAAATGTCATAATATGTTTAAATTTGGTTTCATTTTAGAACAACCGAGATGTTGTCGAGCTTGGAATATAAATACCCTCTTCTTGGTCGAATCAACGAAATAGAGTACTTTAAAGATCTTTTAGACGAAATAGGAGTATCCGAACGACGTTATTCCGGGTTGGTCATCGAGGTACTCGACGAGCGTATAAATTTGAACGAAATTTGAATGAAAATGAGATCGAGAATTATACGAATTAATTATTCAGGGTATTGAAAGATCTGGTAAATCGAGGATCCTTGATGCTTATGTCACGATTGTTAAAAGCAGAGAAATAAAATTGGTTCAACTTTCTTTGCATCCATCTTTTGCAGAGAAATCTTATTCTGTGATATATCATATACTTCTTCAGGTAAACGAGACAAAATTTTGTTTTCCTCTTTGACGATTCAAGATTGAAAAGTTTCTTTTTTTTTTTTCTTCTTTCTTTTTCATCTAGATGTTCAACGCCGAAAATTGTATTTCTATAAACGATCGTGAAAAAACTTTATTAAATTATTTATCCGAAATAGTGGAACCTGAAAATTTATGTTACCTGAATTATATCATGAGAGTACAATTTCCTCAATCAAATACTTATTGTGAAGAAACTGATTGGCAACGTTACAAAAAGATGATCGATATCTTTGAGAAAATATTAAACGAGGTTATAAATAGTTATATTCGTGTAAAGTGATCTGTAAATTTTCCATTTCGATTTATTTATTCCTTTTTTCAGATTATTGGTTATGTATGCATCCTTCTAGATGATGTGCACTATATGGATCTGTTTTCCTGGCAATTTTTATCTGCTATTTTGAGCAATAAACACATAGTTCTAGCTATGACAATGCTGGAACCCGTTTCGTGGGATACTTTAACCCAAATCGAAACCGCGATTAGTCAAGAGAAAAGGTTAAAGATTAAATCGTTGAATTCTTTAAACTCTGAATATTTGACAGCATTTGCCTGTCAATTTTTAAACGTTATTGCAATTCCTGAAACCCTGGAAAAGTGAAGAAATTTATATTAATTTTCTTCCATTCAAATATTATCGACGTGAATATATCAGTATATCGATTATTTCACTGTTTAGAATCCTTAACCAACATAGTAAAAATGGGATTGCTTGGTGCGAAGCGTTCTTAATGTCAATTTTGCAAGTGAAAGCATTAGACATTATCTCGATATCTCCACAAGAAGTAAAAAAATATAATCTCATTTTCCCAAATCCATCGTTTTTATCAAAAATTCCCGTATATTTAACGCCCGAGGAATTGGCACCACCGTTACAATGGATGCAAATGACTACATTAACTGTGTGTGTACTGTCAAAAAAGCCGAAATCTCCCATCGAAGCTAATCGAGACGTTATAGGTGATTTCAAATATTCTTTTATCAATTTTACGTTCAAGTCCTCCGAAATTATTGACTGTAAAATAAATTTAATGATCGATGATTCGTTTTAGGTTTGAGAATCGATATATATAACAGAATGAACACGTACGAACAAGATATTATCAAGTGTGCCGCAGCATTAGGTGATATCTTTCATCGCAGTATGTTAACTAACGTAATAAGTAATTCTACACCATTATTTACATCGAAAGGAAAGTATTGATTATTGAAAAGAAAGTTGGTAATTATTGCATCTTTATGATTATATTATATATTACTGTGTATTCTATTTTAGCCGTGGCAGAAATGATAAGGTTAAGGATCTTGGAGTGTGCTATGATCCAAAGGAAATATTATATAAATATGACGACATATCACGCGTTTAAAAAGCGAAAAACTTTCAGCAACATGCATCATTTGATGTATTGCGATTGCATTCGGACCCGTTAGCTATCTCGAAACATGGCATAATTTTTAATCGTTGTGAATTGTAATAATATTCTTTATTGCAGGCCCAATAGTAAAAGAATCATTGCCAATATATGCTGACTGCAGAGTGTTAGAATTTACGATATCTTCTTATCGTAAATTTTTTTACGATATTCTTTCTACACAGGAGAGAAACGAATATCATTTGAAAGCTGTAAACATTCTTGAACAAAGTGCTAAAAAATGTAGCAGTTGTGGAAGAGGTCCATTTTTAATGCCTTTGATAGAGAAAGAAGAGAAAGTTGAGTCTTTAAAATAGTGTATATATATTATATGAATTTTTTTTTTTTTCTAAATTATCGTAAAAGAATAATAATCAAATTTTATTTTTTCAAGGATGAAAATGATAAAAACTATGTGCAAAAAATTTCGGAAAGATTTGAACGTAGACGAAGTATCTTTGTAACGAAGGAAGACGTCCGTAAAGACAAACAAAACACTCGCATAGCTTCCATTGTACCGACGATGTTTACCGATGAAAACAGTAAATAATATCAATATAAAAATATATCAATCTTGAAATAAATTAGAAATTTCTATTTCAAGTGTATTTAAATACACATATAAATGTATAGTGAAATCGAATTTTAATCCATGTAAATTTTAATACATGGCAATTTGTGTATTTTTACTATATATATATATATATAATATTTTCATATTTTTATATTTTTTATTTTTTTTCAAAAAATTTTCCTTTTTAGAGTTTTTCAAATTTTCCTTCTATAAATTTCTTATTCCAAAATATTTTCATTCAAATTTTTTCATAATACTTTTCAAATACATATTTTTATATATCATAAAATTGCTATTATATTTCTTCTTGTTTTTCTATCCTTACAAATTATCTACTACATATTTATTACCCATAAATTATTTAAAATTGGTAAATAGAAAAATTTATGTATCGGTGGCGCCATCTCGCGTTTGGATCCCGGAAGCTTCGACTTGTTACTAGCAAAGCAGAATATGCAAGGAGGTATTCGTGACGTCACAGGGAAGGAAAGGAATATTGTGCAAGAAGGACGGAGAGCATCTCCATTTTGAAAACGCTAGATGAAAAGTTTATAAATTATTCGTTTTTTACTAAAAATTTTTACATTTTTGAGCTCGCATTTTGAAGCTAGAATTTCAGACAAGTTTCTTATTTAAATTTTAACAAGAAATTCATCGCAATTAATTATTTATTAACAATTATCATATAGAGTGTTTCAATCGCGAATCCCCATTCCTTACTCGAGTAATAAACAATCAATTTATTCATTTAAATAATAACAAAATTATATATAAAATTTATATATGAAAGTAGAGAAGAAAGTAATGTTTCAAATGTATATATTTATATTTAGAAATAAATTTTATAATAATGAGAAATTAGGGAAAAACGTACTGTGCGTTTACGTGCTGAGCTATACGTGACGCATCAACCATTAATAAATAATTAATTAAAATGAATTTCTTGTTAAAATTTATATAATTTTGATACGAGAAATTTGTATGATGTTCTAGCTTTGAACAGCAAGTTTAAAAGTGTAGAAATTTTTAATAAAAAACGAGAAATTAGTAAATTTTCCATATAGTGTTCTGAAAGGGGCGGAGCATACTCTCTATCTTTCTCGCACAATATTCCTTTCCTTCCCTGTGACGTCACGAATACCTCCTCGTATATTCTGCTTTGCTAGTAACAAGTCGAAGCTTCCGTGATCCAAACGCGAGATGGCGCCACCGATACATAAATTTTTCTATTTGCTTTATTTAACTTGAAATGAATAAAATGAGTAAAATAGTTTTCTATATATCGTATCAAATTTTATACGTATTTTTATATCTTTATATATAATTTGTATATATATTTTGTATATTTTTGTTTTATTTTATCGTACACAATTTAAAAAGGTAAATACAAAGCAGATAAATATATATTAAATTTCATAGTTAGATTTGAAAAAAGAAATATAAAAATATATATAAAACAGATAAATGTGTCAATTAATTATAAAATAAATTACAAAATATAATTATAAAATAATAAAATTCGGTAACAAATTATCAAATAAATAAATATTTGTTCTAATGTTCTCTAATATAATTCATGTTTTTTTTCTTTTTAGTGGAAGAATTTATTTCTCGAGAGATGATAAAGGAAGAACAATTGCTTATTTCTAAAAAAATAGAAATGAATTCTTTCGGTATTACATACGATTTATTGGACGAAATAATGAAATCTTTCACCTATATAGACAATCGCAGTTGCACATGCATGGAAATAATAAGTTATATTTTCTGGCAGATTAGTCAACACATTTATCAAATCAGTAACGGAATTCAATTTTCTCATAACGATATGCGATAATTACAATAATATTAAAAGATCTTACTTTTCAGAGGATACTCAACCAGAAATGTTTATAAAGTTCACAATGGAATATAGTGCAGGTTTGATTCAAACTGCACAAAGCTTGCACGCGATTAAATTTCTCATGAATATAAACAAGGATATGAATGAAAAGGAAAAAGATCAATTTGAAAATACATCTTTCAAAGAACAATGGTTAATTTTAATAGGTAAAAAGTCTATTCATATAATAATAAACATATAATAATAAATATTGATCTCTTGAAAGTTGAAATATTGTCGTACATTGGTTGTTCCAAGGGGATGCTTACATGGCGTATGGAAATTATTCCGAAGCGAAGAAATATTATACCGAGGCTGTGATATTGAAGACGGAGATCCCGCAAAATATGAGAACGCTTTGTTATAATATTTTAATCGAGAAATTACGATACACGATAAAAGGTATTTGTAAGATTTTCTTTCAAAATGAAGAAACAAACTCACAAAATGACGAGAAGGTAGCATTAGCTGTCGCTTTGCAACGATTCTCTATGATTTCAATGGTACGTATTTGCGTGTCGTGAAAAATAAATTTTAATTTTTTTTTTTTTTTCGTTCAAGTATATATAACATCGTTGATAAAATTATAGATACAGAATGAAAAGAAATTGGCGAATCTCGCCATTTTGCAAAGTATTCGTATGATATTTAAAAATTCAAGCACTTTCTTAGAAAAAGGAAATGTCTATTTATGCGCTATAAACATTTTTCGCCAACTCAACGATATTAAGATGATAGAAGACGTAGAAAAAATGATTTTAATGGCTATTAGAAATAAAACTGCAATAGGTGGTTGGACGAAACCCGACGAAATTGTTATTCTAGTGAAAATCTATAAAACGATATATGATCATAGGTAATTTAATTGATTATATTGGAATATTTGAATTTTTCGTGGAGGAAAAAAGCTGGCAAGTTATTTATTTGTCGATGAAAGAATATTGCAGGCTAAATTCGATGAAGGTATAGAAGTTGGAACAATAATCTGTAAGATATGTAATTATATAAACTTGAATAAAATAAAGTTCAGCGTTCTACCGTCATTGATAAAAATTATGGTAAAAAGAAAAAAGAAAAAGAAAAAAAAAAAAAAAAAAAAAAAAAAAAAAAAAAAAAAAAAAAAAAAAAGAAAAAGATTCATCACATAGCTCATCCACAACGTGAATTATTTTTTTTGTATATTTAATCGTGAAACTATTATTTCAGGTTTGGAAGAAACATATAAACCAAGCTGTCGACTTGTTATTCGAACTGTATTACACCTCTGAGGAGGATACAGATTATTCCGCTATCACATGGTATTACGCTCTTTGCTTGGAATTTTTATTGGATGCTTCTATGAATTTAGAAAGTTACAATAGCTGTTACGAATTTTATACGTTTATAAGTAAGTCTCGTTTTTAACAAGGCCCCTCGTTATTATTATCGAAATCTTTTCCATCTCTGGTTTTTCAGATACCAAATTGAAAACTTGCGTATCGCGAGATCCAACGAGTCTGTTGCATCTGAACAATGCTTTACTTATCTGGCAATTAAGAATGTGAGTGACTCGAGATATTTATATTCATTTCGTTTAAATAATTCGATATTCGTACCACAGGAACGTACCACTGAATTACGAGCTTGTGAAAGATGTTAACGAATATGTAAAGGATGTCATATCTTACAATTTCTCACAATTTTATTGTTCGATCAAGGTACGAATCGAATTCAAATCACACAAATTACACCTGCCTGTTTAATAATTTTACGCCATCGTTTTACGCCACAGGGCCTCGAGTCTTATTTATTGATATTGTATCGGCGACTCGATATCCCTCACTCGTACGATCTTTTCGAACGAACGTATTACGCCAAAAAGATCATCAAGTTTCTTCACAACGTGAGCATCTATTTCCCGTTTGTCAAACCGTTTACATATTTCCTGGAATCTTACATGAGACTTCTCCGTGGCCGAAAGTCTTCGTCGCAAACTTGCATGGCGAAAGCGGAAAAATACGCTATCGCTCAAGGAAACAAAATGGTTATCGCATGGATTGAACAGAACAAAAGGGTAACCAACGTGTATATATATATAAGCATTAATAATTTCATCAATTCTCTCTCAATATACCTTTCGATCGGTTGATTCGATCGGCAGACTTGGGAAGTGGATTTCTTCAACAACATGGCTGAATATTGGGTGGAATTCGTGGCGTCCTCGGAAGGTATTCTATGGCAAGAGATCCATTTGCTCAAGCCGATCGCTTGGTCTACTATATTGTACCCGTATCCACATCCCAAGTACAATTATTGATCAATCGATTTCTTAATTCTTCTCCCGATAATCGCTGGGAAGAGGAAGAGGATAAATGGTGAGAGAAATAGACACGGCGAGTTGTAGCGAAATATTTATTGATTAAAGAAGGCGTGTTACAGTTTCAGGTTCTAAAAAAAAAAAAAAAAAAACATATACACGACGATCCCCTCGTGTGTACACGATACTTGGTTTAAAAGTGAACACTCTCGTTCTTTCTCGGTTCGTTTCTCTCGCAAGGCGACCTCCGCGCTTATTGAACCTCCAGATCGATTTTTAGGAAACCTCTCGCGACCGACGATACCAGTTTTTTTTTTTTCTTTGCGTTTGTACATCCACGATATACTTTATAATTAATTAATTAATTAATTAATTCGTCTATCGGCCGAGTACGCCAAGGATACAAGCTTCCAGTTGAACGAGATAAAGGATCGAGGCGAAGTTGAGACGAGTGATGAGAGAAAGTAAAAAAAAAAAAAAAAAAAAAGGAAGAGTAAGATAAGGAAAGAAGATAGAAAAGAAAAGGAGCGCGCGGGAAGAAGATAATCGCGAATTGGTTCGATTTGAGCATAATAATATCGACCAATTTCCACGAGTTTCTAGCACAATCCTATATCTCGCATCGCATTCATAGAAATAGAAAAAAAAAAAAAAAAAAAAGAAGAAATAATTGTCAACGTATACGAATACAGTTAATTAATCTGTTGCGTTAATGTACATTTTTCTTGATTGAAAAAAAAAAAAAAAATCTTTACAAAATATTCCATTCTTTTATTTACTATCGCCGGATAACAAAAATAAAACTAAAGAAATCGATCGAAATAAATTTTAATCGATTTATCCCATATACACAACGAAGTTTGTAGAAAAGGCTTCCGGCGTATATTAATATAATATACGACAAGCACACGTTGCACACAATTTTCTTTTTCATTTACCGATCAGGATGCAGAGAGTTCGGTGTTCGTTTCGAAAGAAAAGAAAAGAAAGAAAAAACGGACGCGTTTATTCCTACGCATGCGCGTAAGCAAGTTTACTAGGTTGTGGCGCTCTCGTTCCTTTGCGATTTCTTTCCTACGGAAAAGAAGGGGAACAGTGTTGGTCCTTCTTTTCTTCCTTTCTTCCTTCCTTCCTTTCTATCTTTCTTTCTTTCGATTTCGTTGGCGTACTCGAGCTGGATATACGTTTCGTTTGGCTGAAGTGAAGAGGGAAATAAGGGGCGGGATTTGAATCGAATCGCTGTGAAAAATATCACGATCTCCTCCTCGGTTGGCGCTGCTACGCTTCACTCCGGCTGGGTGAACCTCGATCGCACGGAACACCGATCCCTCTTTCCCCCCCACTCTCTCCCCTCATTCGTGCGCATCGACGTCGTTGTCGATGCGACTGCTTCGTATCCCGGTCTTGCCCGTCCACGGATAGATGTCCGGACACGTTTGACAAGTCTTCATGTACCTCACCCCGCTCTTGTGCCATAGATTGCACACCTTCGGATTGTTGCACTTCTTCGGCCGATCCTATCGATCGAAAATTCGAAGGTAAATCGAATCTCGTCTTATTTCTCACGGAAAAAAAAATACATATATATATATCGGCGTACCGGATAGTTACATCCAAACGGTTCAAACGTGTGCAACAGGGGCAACGGCGTAGGATTCCTCACCCATTGGATCGCCTGCCAATTAGTCACGATCCACACATCGTCCATCGCCACTATCGTATCCAGGAATGAAATGAAACCCTCTTTGTGATGGGGCTGGGTGAACCATGCCGCGTGATAGAACAACCCGAACGGCGCTCTGAAAAAATTTATCGTTTCCCTCCTTATCGTGCTCCAATCGAAATAATCAAATGAAAAAGTCGAACGACTCACCTGTTGGTCGTGTAATGTCTCTCGAAATTCTTGATCAGCATCTTGTAAACACCGTCGGCGGTGGGCGGGTTGCTGCACGCGTCTCCCATCGAGCACCTACCCCCGTTCAGATCCTGCCACATCACCATGGGAACTTCCCACAAGCCTGGATAAGACCTGGTGGGGCACGGAGGTATCATGCAGTCGTGGAACAGCTTGTAGTCCAAGGTGTAGGGCCAGCTGGGCGGTCGGTTCTCGTAAATCGGCATGGACGAGTCGTACGTGAAGTTCGTGTCCCACAACATTTTGAACATGTTGTTCCCTCCCACCTGTTTTTTTATATTCGAGTTATATTTTTCCCAAAGTTCAAGTCAATCAATTATATTCGAGAAGATAGAATATTACCGAAAGGAATGGGGCCCTCATCCCTCTCACGTCCTCCAGCTTCACGCCTCCATAGGCGGAGAGAATCTCGCGTTGTCCCGCAACCTCTCGAGCCCACTTTCGCTGAGAGAACTGCTCGCCGAAACTGTGCCTGTTTCCGGGGAGGGGGAGGGGATTTATCGAGGTCCGTCGATGATTCGAAAAAAATTGGGACACGCGATCGCGGGCTTGGAATCCAAGAAATTCGATCGATCGACCGGTCCACAAGCTCGTCCAACCAAGTTTTTCTTCTTTTCGAAATCGTGGAAAAATAATATTGAAGAGAGAGAGAGAGAGAGAGAGGATACGAAAATACCAACAAACGTTATCTCTTTCTTCAGCGTTTGTTTGTTTGCTTGTTGTTGGTTGGGAAACCGGTTCTCCGATCCGTTTTCCTGCATTCTAACCCGCGTCTAAGGCGCGAAAGCAGCAAATTCTAATCAAGCTGGCATTAGTTTCATCTAACAAGATGCAGAGCGTGAAAACGACAATTGGAGCTGAGAAGCTGCTCAATGATAATGATTAAATGATGCTTCCTTTAACTCGATCGATCGAGTATCCTTCGAGTATATATATATAAATCTTTTTTCATATCGATATACAAATCCGCGAAATCGTACATAAGAAACAGAAAAAGCTTTACTTTATTAGGGAATGGCGAAACGTCGAATGGAAAATTCGTTCTTTCTTTTTTTCCCCTCGGCAGATAGGACGTGACAGGTGTACTTACGAGACCGTGTGGGAGGCAATCTCATGACCGGCCGCGTAGAGATTTTGAACTTGGCTGTAGTCGGTCCACTCGTGGGAGACGTAGAACGTGGCCGAGATGGGGCAACCGTTCGGATTTTTCCTCCCTTTCTCGAACAGATCGGCGTACAATCCCTTGTTCAGATCGTTCACGGAGTCGTCGAACGTCAGGAGAACGATTTGCGGTATCTCCTCCGGAAGGTAGTCACCTATTTTTTTTTTTTCAAGGATTCGGGAGTGGAGGGGGGCGAGAGGAGGAGCGTGTCTCATTCGTGCGTGTATCGACGACGACATTTGTCACGTATTTCGTCACATTTTTTGTTCGAAGGATAATCGTGTCGTGTATCGATCGTGTATCACGACGATTATTTAAAGTGTGATGGGAATGCGAGGAATGATCGAGTGTGATGCGAACAGAAAGAAGAAAAGAGAGAGAGAGAGAGAGAGAGAGAAGAAAGAAAAGTTAGTTATGCGTCATTAGTGCAGGGCGCACAGGTGGTGAAACGGTGTCATTCGTTCATCTCCACCACCCGTTTCACCACCCGTCACGTCGCCATTTATCGTTTCATCGCGATCCTCCACGATCCTCTAATTGCCCGGTTCGAGCGTGACGAGTGGGATCCAAGTGGGAAGCCGGCCAATTTGTTCCGGAGAGAAGCGCTACCTTGACTTAACGGCCATCTATCGGGAAGGGGGAGGGAAGAGAGACGGAATGGAAGGAGTTCCACTGACGCGCATCGACGAAACGAAACTGAGCAACTTCGTTTCCAAATTTTACTTTGGCTCGGCTCGTTTTTATTTATTAATTCTTTTGATGGAAATTCTATGGACCAATTGTCCCATCCCACTTGGCTTAAGATTAGAGGATCGTGGATGGATGAAGAAAAGCGGTTTTTCCCGTAACGGTTGGGACGTGTTGCCCGAGATAGAACGATTTCCAGATCGAGGAGATGGCGCGATACGAATTAGCGAATGGTAATGAGACTTGATTGATCTCGACAATAATTCGAATTATTATTATTAGAGCGATGGAGAAGCGATGTTTTCGAACTACTATTTCCTTTTTTTCTTTCTTTTTTTTTTTTCTTTCTTTCTTTTCTGCGCATCCCGTTTGCACAACTTACGAGATGGTGTGCGATGCCATTTCGTGGCCGTCCACGTAAAGGTTTTGCACCTGGCTATAATCGGTCCACTCGTGCGAAACGTAGAACGTGGCCGTGATCGGGCAACCGTTCGGATTTTTTCGGCCGTTTTCGAATAGATCGGTGTACAATGGTTTGTTCAGGTCGTTCACGGCGTCGTCGAACGTCAGAAGAACGATCTGCGGCGTCTGTTCGACCGGGATTCCACCTGAGTGGAAATATTTACGACATATTATACACGTGGAGGGTTCACAGGGAATCGTTTTGAAATTCTACCCTAGCACCTATTACAGAATCAACAATTTTAACTACTCTAAAAAAAGAAACGGCCCTTCCTTCGTACGTTCACGCGACGTATACGTATTTATTCATTCGAAGAAACGTCTGGATCTCGAAGAGAGGAATTATTTATGTATACGCGCATGCATCTAACTGTTCAGATCACCGCCGCGGGCAAATTATCGCGATCCGTTCGCATCTCGGACACGCTTCGATCAAATAAATACATCTTGTATCGAGATACGCTCGACGCATCGATAATAGGATCGATCGACCCGCCCGGATTCACGTCACGCGGCGAGCTTTCGATTTCGAGCATAGGGATCGAGAGCGGCGCATGCGCGAAATTACGAGCGAGGCGGATCTGTTTCACTTTCGAACGGTATTATGTGTAACGTTAGAATAACGGAGAAAGTGAGCCGTGGTGGCTGCTTTAAACCGATCGGCTAAACTTAACATTCGCGGCGCGGGGACGCTTGCGTCACGCGACATCGTTGTCGAGTATCGTTTTCGAGTATCTTTCGCGTCTTTTCCGCGTTCAACGCACGCGCGTTGCCCGCCCCCCCCCCCCCCCCTCCTTCGTCGAATCGAAACCGGAATCGATAACGCCGGCTCACCTGGAATGTCGGCACCGCCGCAGCTGCAATCGGGAAGAAGGCAAACGTCCTTGCGACACTTGGCCGCCGGTTTGTCGACCTGCGGGGTCGGGTAAATCGGCGCGGGCCTCGATGGAGGATACCTGTAGATGTCGACGAACTCTTGCGCTTTCGACACGATCTCGGTCGACGGTTTCAAGGTTGGCCGCGATCGTCTGAAAGATCGAGTTTCATTTCGATTTCACGGAAATTCGAGAAAGGGGGCATTCGCGTTTTCCGGTTGTTCGAAGAAACTATCGTATCGCCGATATTTGCGATTTCACCTTTCATGCCGATCAAGGTGAATTCGTAATTCGTCCATCGATTAAAGCTTGATTTATTTCATCCTGCCCTCTTTTCTCGCGATTCTTTCTTCTTCTTCTTCTTC